CTGTGTCCAGGTCTACGAGCTTACTAACTCAGCTGTTTCCATTTCTACGAGCTTACTGACTCAGCTGTGTCCAGGTCTACAGGCTTACTGACTCAGCTGTGTCCAGGTCTACGAGCTTACTGACTCAGCTGTGTCCAGGTCTACGAGCTTACTGACTCAGCTGTGTCCAGGTCTACGAGCTTACTGACTCAGCTGTGTCCAGGTCTACGAGCTTACTGACTCAGCTGTGTCCAGGTCTACGAGTTACTGACTCAGCTGTGTCCAGTCTACGAGCTTACTGACTCGGGCTGTGTCCAGGTCTACGAGCTTACTGACTCAGCTGTGTCCAGGTCTACGAGCTTACTGACTCAGCTGTGTCCAGGTCTACGAGCTTACTGACTCAGCTGTGTCCAGGTCTCCAAGTCTCGTGCAAGAGCACAAAGATCCTCTTAAGTCGACACCTCGACACCACCCTCAAGCGCACTCATAACAATACTGTTGACTAAGTCGTAACGCCGCCTTAACTGAAGTGTACAAACTCACAATGGAACTAAGTCAACAAATGTTTTTAAAAAAAAAAAACTGACTCTTCCAAAAGAGAAAGTATATCAATGAAAAAAAATCACAATACGTTTTGGTCCCTCCTCGACTATTGTCAAATCACAACTGAGTCGAGAAAAATAGAAAAGGCCTATAAGACACTACGTTAGGGAAATGTCCTCACATTTCAATGGCGTTGTGTTGACAGTCACACCCAGTGATAGGTGGAAGGTGCACACTATCAGCCAGCTGAAAGCTCATTAGTAAGTTTACTTGGGTACAGGTACACATAAGCACAATTATCATACATAGTTTAACATATGTGTAACTTGATAATTAAGACACATGTGCAGCAGTTAGGTAACTTTATTGTTGAACCGTTTCGTCTACGCAGTAGATTTCTTCAGTCAAATGAAGAGGTCATTTAGAAACAGAGAGAGATGTGTACATACCGATCCCTGAGTACACTGTGGAGAATGTACTAATATGTACTCAGGCACCCAGCCACCGGGAATGCAAACAGTGTGACTGGTGTGTGTGAGGTGCTGTGAGGTATAAGGCTCACAGTAAACAGTGTGACTGGTGTGTGTGAGGTGCTGTGAGGTATAAGGCTCACAGTAAACAGTGTGACTAGTGTGTGTGAGGTGCTGTGGGGTATAAGGCTCACAGTAAACAGTGTGACTGGTGTGTGTGAGGTGCTGTGAGGTATAAGGCTCACAGTAAACAGTGTGACTGGTGTGTGTGACGTGCTGTGGGGTTTTAAGGCCACAGTAAAACAGTGTACTGGTGTGTGTGAGGTGCTGTGAGTATAAGGTCACAGTAAACGTGTGACTGGGTGTGTGACGTGCTGTGGGGTAAAAAGGCTCACAGTAAACAGGTGACTGGTGTGTGTGACGTGCTGTGAGGTATAAGGCTCACAGTAAACAGTGTGACTGGTGTGTGTGAGGTGCTGTGGGGTATAAGGCTCACAGTAAACAGTGTGACTAGTGTGTGTGAGGTGCTGTGGGGTATAAGGCTCACAGTAAACAGTGTGACTGGTGTGTGTGAGGTGCTGTGGGGTATAAGGTTCACAACAAACACCATGACTGGAGTGTGTGGGTTGTTGCGGGGTAAAAGGCTCACAGCAAACAGCGTGACACTAGGCGTTATGCCTTTATGGGTCATTCCACTGATGGCTGACCCCCCTTCCAGCTCTTTGTAAACATTAATGACGCAATAGACAGTGGTAGTTAATATCGCCGCGTTCCCTCCCCAACCACCCCCTTCCCACTTTCCCAACTCCCTCCCCATTTCCTATAATCTCCCCCCCCCTTCCCCTCTCCCATAACGCAGCTACAACTATCACCACCCAACATTCCACAATTATCAACACCCACATAATTACCCTAAATAATCCCTCTATTGCTGAATCTACCACCAATAATACCACCACCACCACCACTGTTACCACCACTCCTACCACCACTACCGCAATCACTACCACCACCACTACCACCACCACCACTACCACCACCACAAACTACCACCACTACCACCACAACTACCTCCACCACTACCCCCACTACCACCACCATCACCACTACCACCCTCACCACTACCACCACTACCACCTCCACCACTACCACCACTGCTACCATCTCTACCCCCACCACCACTACCACTATCACTCGTACTACCACCACTGCCACCACCAACACTACCTCCCCTACCACCACCACTACCACCACAACCACTATATCACCACCACTCCCACCACCACAACAACCACCACCACTACCACCTCCACCACTACCACCACCACCACCACTACCACCACTGCTACCATCTCTACCCCACCACCACACCACTATCACTCGTACCACCACCACTACCACCACCACCACTACCTCCTCTATCACCACCACTCCCACCACCACAACCACCACCACCACCACCACTACCACCACTCCGGATACACGCTCTCACAACTGTCTTAGTTAATGTCTCTCTCAGCTACACTGCACATTAATAACGTAATACTTACAATGTACATTAACGATGTCATATAAACTGTGTATATGAAGTGTACTGGAGCCCAGGGTATATACACTGAGAGTTACACACCTTCCAGTGTATATACACTGAGAGGTGTGTAGCTCCCAGTAGATATACACTGAGAAGTGCTGTAGCTCCAAGTATTTATACACGAGAGGTGTGTAGCTCCAGTATATATACACTGAGAGGTGTGTAGCTCCCAGTATATATACACTGAGAGGTGTGTAGCTCCCAGTATATATACACTGAGAGGTGTGTAGCTTCCAGTATATATACACTGAGAGGTGTGTAGCTCCAGTATATATACACTGAGAGGTGTGTAGCTCCCAGTATATATACACTGAGAGGTGTGTAGCTCCCAGTATATATACACTGAGAGGTGTGTAGCTCCCAGTATATATACACTGAGAGGTGTGTAGCTTCCAGTATATATACACTGAGAGGTGTGTAGCTCCCAGTATATATACACTGAGAGGTGTGTAGCTCCCAGTATATATACACTGAGAGGTGTGTAGCTTCCAGTATATATACACTGAGAGGTGTGTAGCTCCCAGTATATATACACTGAGAGGTGTGTAGCTCCCAGTATATATACACTGAGAGGTGTGTAGCTCCCAGTATATAATACATAGAGGTGTGTAGCTCCCAGTATATATACACTGAGAGGTGTGTAGCTCCCAGTATATATACACTGAGAGGTGTGTAGCTCCCAGTATATATACACTGAGAGGTGTGTAGCTCCCAGTTATATACACTGAGAGGTGTGTAGCTCCCAGTATATATACACCGAGAGGTGTGTAACTCCCAGTATATATACACTTAGAGGTGTGTAGCTCCCAGTATATATACACTGAGAGGTGTGTAGCTCCATGTATATATACACTGAGAGGTGTGTAACTCCAGTATATATACACTTAGAGGTGTGTAGCTCCCAGTATATATACACTGAGAGATGCGTAGCTTCCAGTATAAATACACTGAGAGGTGTGTAGCTCCCAGTGTAAATACAATGAGAGGTGTGTAGCTCCCAGTATATATACACTGAGAGATGCGTAGCTCCCAGTATAAATACACTGAGAGGTGCGTAGCTCCCAGTATATATACACTGAGAGGTGTGTAGCTCCCAGTATATATACACTGAGAGGTGTGTAGCTCCCAGTATATATACACTGAGAGGTGTGTAGCTCCCAGTATATATACACTGAGAGGTGTGTAGCTCCCAGTATATATACACTGAGAGGTGTGTAGCTCCCAGTATATATACATGAGAGGTGTGTAACTCCAGTATATATACACTTAGAGGTGTGTAGCTCCCAGTATAATACACTGAGAGATGCGTAGCTCCCAGTATAAATACACTGAGAGGTGTGTAGCTCCCAGTATATATACACTGAGAGGTGTGTAGCTCCCAGTATATATACACTGAGAGGTGTGTAGCTCCCAGTATATATACACTGAGAGATGCGTAGCTCCCAGTATAAATACACTGAGAGGTGTGTAGCTCCCAGTGTAAATACAATGAGAGGTATGTATTCCACAGAGTACATACACTGACGGGCATTAATCTCTATGGGTATGTACGCTCAGAGGTATGTATATATCTCTCCATGGATATACATTGTATATACTTTGAGAGAAGACTTTCTTCTGGTAATTAACCCCGGTTATCCTGGGCTAATAACCCAGGATAGCCGGGTTAACCCAGGATAACCTAAGCGGTATCTGTGTCCATGGTGATAATGTGATCCTCTTCCCCCAGAATGCGACCCAAAGCCGGATAGAAGAACATGTCTAATAACGTTTCCTCTCCTCCCGGGATTAAACCCGGGAGGAGAGGGTTCTATCTTGCATTATCAAGAATGATCGTAGGTTTAAAAACAGAGATGAAATAACAAAAAAAGGCACAATACCGTGACTGGAACGATACACAAATAACCCGCACATAAAAGAGGGAAGCTTACGACGACGTATCGCCAACCAGTGACTTTTTTCTCTATTCAATTCATTGATTATAGACTGAAGAGTGTAGGAGATGGGGTGATCCGTCCCTCAACCTTGACTGGTGTTTATGCTACAAGCTCTGATCACAGTGTGAGTGCCTATCAGGGCTGCGGGACTGATCCACTTATGTACTCTCTCCATTGTGAACACCTATCAAGAAAGAGGGACTGATTTTTCTCACCTCCTATTGTCTCCAGTGTGAACACCCATTCAGTGTATGGGACTGATTCCGCTCATCTATTGTCTTTGGTTTAAAATTTCTGTTATAAACTAGAAAAAGCCACTGGTGGGCGAAACGTCTTCATAATGAGACAGGTGTTGCACACGTCTCTCATTAATCACTCTGTGGGTGCAGTATACTGTAACTGTAACACTGAGGCTACTACAGGTCAAGCAACATTTCGTCCTCACCTGGCGTTCAGAAGCTAGCAACGTTTCGCACCTAC